TAATAAACCTAATAATCTGTGACATGTGGGGTCGTAGGTAAAAGATGGTCAATAAATGTTGGCTCTCTTTTTCAATTTGCTACTTTTCAGTCAGCAGGTTGGTAGCCCACAAGTTAGTAAGTAATGTTTTTATTTTTGGAATATTAAGATTGGATCACAGGTGATCCAGCAATCCCATTTCTGGGTATTTATCTGAAGGAAATGAAATCACTATCGTGAAAAGATATCTGTAACCCAATAGCCAAACATGGAAACAACACACACACACACACACACACACACACACACACACACACACACTGGAATATTATTCAGCCATAAAAAAGGAAAGCCTACCATTTATGACAACATAAATAGACCCTGAGGGTATTAGGCTATTGGAATAAGCCCCATAGAGAAAGACAAATACTGTATGATTTCTTTGATATGTAAAATCTAAAAAAAAAAATCTTACTCAGAGATAGTATAGAGAATGGATTGGTGCTTGCCAGAGGCAGGGATGGGTGGGATTGGCAGTAGGGATGAAGGAATAAAAAGGTACATACTACCAGTTTTGAGAAAAATAACTCCTGGAGATGTAACGTACAGCAAGATGACTATAGTTAACAATACTATAGTATTACATAGTTGAAAGTTGCTAAAAGTAAATCTTAAAAGTTCTCATCACAAGGAAAAAATTGTAACTATGTGTGGTGACTGATGTTAACTAAATTTATTGTGGTAATCATTTTTCAATATATACACATATTTGCCGAAACCGGTTTGGCTCAGTGGATAGAGCGTCGGCCTGCGGACTGAAAGGTCCCAGGTTCGATTCCGGTCAAGGGCATGTGCCTGGGTTGCGGGCACATCCCCAGTAGGAGATGTGCAGGAGGCAGCTGATCGATGTTTCTCTCTCATCGATGTTTCTGGCTCTCTGTCTCTCTCCCTTTCTCTCTGTAAGAAAGATCAATGAAATATATTTAAAAAAAATATATACACATATTCAATCATTATATTGCACACCTAAAACTAATACAATATCATAAGATTGGATGACCCATACTTAACATTGATCTCAAGGAAACAATGTTTGGTTTCATGACTAAATGAAACATTTTACTATTTGTTAAGAAAACCCAATGGCTAATAACTTAGACTCATTTCCTGATAGTGGAAGAAAAGTGCATTCCAAGATTTTGATTTAGAGTTCTTAATATATATAATTAATAAAATCCCTCTTTTCACCATTAGAAGTAGCTATTACATCAACTTCTTACTTTAAAACTGATAACTGCCCTGGCTGGTATGGCTCAGTTGGTTGAACAACGTCCCATGCACCAAAAGGTCACCAGTTCAATTCTCAGTCAGGACACATGCCCAGATTGTGGGTTTGACCCCCATCTGGGGTGCATGTGGGAGGCAACGAATTGATGTTTCTCTCTTACATCAATGTTTTTTCTCACTCTCCCTTCCTCTCTCTCTAAAAATCAATAAAAACATATTTTTAACAATTTGATAGTTAAGTAGAAAGAAATAAGCCAGCTTTTATCCTACTTTTCCTAGAAGAATTGAATTGTAGGGTAGTCAACTGACTCTAAAAGATGGAAGGAAAGTCTTGCATAAATTCTAGTTAATATGTGAAGAATGAAAGAAAGAATAAGTAAGCTACCATTTTTTGCAGTCCAAATAAATAGGCAAGAATCATTAAATAGGGACCTAAATCACTAGGTAAAGGGGGAACTTTTGTTTGCAACAAGCCAATTACCATCTCTCAGATCACATCTTACCTGATCACTCTTGACACTAATAATAGAACTAGGCATTATGTGCATCCTAATATAATGCAACGCAAAGCACAAAGCAGCACCTAGGAAGAGGTCGTGTCAAAAAGGTTTCACCTAGCCCTAGTCGGTTTGGCTCAGTGAATAGAGCACTGGCCTGCGGACTAAAGGGTCCGGGGTTCAATTCCGGTCAAGGGCACATGCCCAGGTTGCAGGCTCGATCTCCAGTAGGGGGTGTGCAGGAAGCAGCCAATTGAACTCACATCTATGTTTCGCTCTCTCTCCTTCCCTCCCCTTCCGCTCTTTCTAAAAACCAATTTAAAAATCTTAAAAAAAAAAAAAGGAACCTGTGAGTTTAATAGCTTCCCTTCTGGGTGACAAAGTGGAGGCAGTCATTCAACGCATATTTATTTCTTACCTCCCATGGGTGAGGCATGTACTAGGGGCTCCCTCACTGAGCTTGTGGACAAGGATGGCAAGACAGGCCTTTCTCAAGTAACCACAGACATTCACAAATACAAGCAATGACAAGCGTCATGAAAGAAAAGGACAGTGCACTATCAGAGATGTGATGATTGATCAGCAAGCAAGTCAATCTCCAAGTTCAAGCCACTACAGTGGAAGCACAGGGGTTAAAGCAAGGACTTGGGGTAGAATACTTGGGTTTGCATCCAGCTCCTCCTACCTCTGACTAACTATGTGACCCTGAACAATTGATTTCACCTTTTAGTTCCCTCATCTGTACAAGTGCTATAAAACAAGTGTGGGGCCTGGCCAGTGTGGCTCAGTGTTTGAGCATTGACCTATGAACCAGGAGGTCATAGTTCGATTCCAATCAGGGAATATGCCTGAGTTGTGGGATCGATCCCCAGTGTGGGGCGTACAGGAGGCAGCCGATCAATGATTCTCTCTCATCATTGATGTTTCTTTCTCTCTCCCTCTCTCTTCCTCTCTGAAATCAATAAATAAAAATACCCTATATAATAAAGAGGGGATATGCAAATTGACCGTCACTCTGCCACAAAGATGGCGGCGCCCACAGCGGAGGCGGGGTTTCCGTAACACAAGATGGCTGCATCCACAGCAGAGGCCAAGTTCTCATAACGAGCCTTAACGAGGAATCAGCAGGGACCTGAGGCTGTACCCCCCCCTCCCCCCCGTGCCCCCATGGGTCTTGACAAGGGACCTCAGGCCACACCCCCAGCCCTGGCGCCAGGCCGGGGGACCTCAGACTGCACCCCCTGCCCAGCAGGGCTTGATGGGAGACCTCAAGGTGCGTGCCCTGCCCCAGTGCTAGGCTGGAGGTCCTCAGATTGCTCCCCCGCCCAGAGGGGCTTGACAGGGAACCTCAGGCTGTGCCCCGCACCCTGGTGCCAGGCTGGGGGACCTCAGATTGCTCCCCCGCCCCGGCTAAGGCTAGGGAACCTCAGGCCGCGCCCTTGTCCCGGCACTGGGACAGGGGACCTGAGGCTGCGCCCCCCGCCCAGCGGGGCTTGACAAGTTTGGGACTGGCCGGGTCTGGATTTAGCCCAATGGGGGGGGGCAGCCGGGTCTGGGTCTTGCACGATTTTGAGGCGCACATGAGTGGGCGGGGACTTGACTCTGGGTCCCGTGGTGCGCCCCAGACTCTGACAGGAGAAAGATTTTCATATACATTTTACTAATTTTCTTTCATCTCTGACACTTCTATTATAGAGAAAGGGCAAATAGCAATATTAAAATATTTCCTCTAATTAATCCCATTTTACTGTGCACAAATTTCGTGCACCAGGCCACTAGTATTAAAATAAAAAACAAGTGCAGGTATGAATAGTCCTTACATCAGAGGGTTGCTGTGAAGATGACATGGTCAATACTATATGGTGCCAGAATAGGGCCTGACACACACTAAGCCCCCCAAGTGTGTCTGTTATTATCTCCATGGTCCTTTGGCCCAGAGCAAAAAGGAATGTAATGGTATCAACCCTCTCCGTTTGGCCTGTGAGGACTAAATGAATTAATGTTTTGAATACCTTTTTTTTTTTTTTTCAGTAAACCCTAGCTGCACACTAAAGTCACTCAGAGAGTTTGTTAATATTTTATTTTTTTAATTTTATATATATACACATATATGTATGTACATATTGCATAATAGTTTTACAGTTGTGAGTACATGAGTTTATTTTTGCATTATTATTTATTAATTATTGCGTTATTTATTTGTGTTACACCTGTAAGCCTACTTCTGACCACTCCTGTATATGATGCATGGGCTCGATTCTGAAACAAAAGCATTAGAAATTCTAGGGATAGAGCCTGGGTGTCCATATGTTTGAAGCTCCTCGGACTGGGAACCACTGATCTGGGTAAAGTGACACAAAAGTGTAAACCTCTCTGGTGCAATGAGTTTAATAGTGCTGTTACTATTATTGTAGCCTCAACAGTGTGCAACCCATGATCTGATCTTACAGCGTACAAATGATGTCAACCTTGAGAGAGTTGAAGTTCCTACTAATTTCTTTCTCCTCTCATATCATCCCCCATTTCTCCAAAAGCAGAACAAATATGCAGACAAAAAGCGCTCGGGTAAGCCCCAACGGCCCCCCGCCCCCGTCCCCCCACTCCTTGTCCTCTGTGACTGGCTCCAGTGCGTTTCCACGCGGGCTTAACTTGGGAACCGGTCAGAACACACTCCTGTGTGGAATTATTTACAGACAGAGGCCACCCAACCCAACCCATTTGTGGAGCAGTCCTTTTTGCATCCGGAAGGTCTCAAACACGGAAAAGCCAGCACGGCTATTTGTCATGAGGGTGGGGAGAGGAAGATATTAGGTGTGAAAGACTTGGGCATTGTTTTTCCATTTATGAGGGGCTAAAGTGCAATGTTCTATAGCTCCATTGGGTCGTGGTTACACCTGAGTGTCTACATTTGCCAACATTCGTTGGCCCGTACACTTATAACCTATGTCTTTTATTGTAGGTAAAGTACACCTCAGTTTAAAAAAAAAAATAGCACAGGGAAAAATAAAGTTGGCAGTCATTCACTAGGAGGTTCACGTGGGGAGAGACAGCTAAGAGGAGTTCCAAGAAGCTCCAAACGCCCTCTTTGACCTGTTGGTTCTGGCTCACAGGGGAAGAAGAGTTGGAGGGTCTAAGCCAGTCCTTAGACAAGGAGTGTCGTGGAGGGAGGAGACCGAGCCCCACGCACCGCGGTGTTCTGCCTGGATCTGGCCAGCCCGGAGCGCGCGGGGTTCTTACCGAGTAGCAGGAAGGACAGGACCCACTGAAACACCGCCGCCGTCTGCAGCCGCCGCTCCAGCGGGATATTGAGCGGCGCAAACTCCAGCTTCATGGCCCGGCCCCGGCGAGGACTGCGGCGCAGACTGCGGCCACCTGGAAGCTCGCTGCTCTGCAGCGCCTGCGGGAAGTGCGCGGTCTGAGCAGGGTCCCGCGCGGGATACCCGCGGGGCGGAGAGGAGGAGGCGGTGGCGGCGCCGGAGCCGGCGGGGGCTGGACTTTGTCTTGGGTGGGAGGGCGCGCCGGGGCCGAGGCTGGGGGCTGCCAATCAAGCGCGCCCGGGCCCCGGAGCAGCTGGCGCGCCCGGGGCGCATTGGCTGGCGCGCCCGGGCGCCGGCGACAGCGCTCCGCGTTGGGCACAGGGGACGCGGAGAAGGATCAGCTGGCTGCCCGCCACAGCCCGGCCGCGTGAGCTCCTGCAGACTAGCAGAGGCCCTGGGGTCTCCACCGGGATCTGACTGTTGATCGATCATCGAGCGCTCCGCTTCAGCATCCGCCTTTAAACCCACCCCTTCCTCTGAATCACCCACCAGCTGGAGGAAAACGCGGGACTTGGCTTCTTTGGGAGCAGGGTACTCATCTGTTTATTGGTCTGTGCCCTCCACACCACCCCAAAACTGGAGAGGGGCGGGGACATGGCTGCTCACTTTTGTGTCCTCAGTGTCCTGGAAATCTTTTACTTATTCACTCACTCAGCACACACTTAGTGCTTACCGCATGCCAGGCACCATTCTGGACATGGGGGATACACCCAGTAACCAGTCATTCATCGATTCTGCTCTCAGAGTACAAATTGGGGGGGGGGGGTGCAAAATAACCACACATAGCTGACAAATGAAAGCCTGCTCTGAATGACTGGAAGAAGGTTCTAGGATAGATTGGAGAGTCAGGGAAGTCTCTGAAGAAGTGACCTTGACTTGAACTATAACTATGAATCTGGTCCAGGCAAAGGGAAGCACATGTCCTATGGCTGAAATCCGAAGAAGACCAATAGAGAACAGGAGGAGATTGGGGTGAAATGAGGCAAAAATGGGGTCCAAGGGTCAGATCCTTTACCCTAAGACTTGTCACTGAAAGGTTTCAATTATGATGTGTTAAACAGATGGATGGATTCCAAATAGTGCCCAATGCTTTTTCACCTACTAATGTTTTCTGTACAAATGGAAGCTGCCATGCATCCAAAATGGAAACCGTCCCCACACGCCATGATATTTTGAACTTAATTTTAAAAATCAATTTGCAGCCCTAGCCGGTTTGGCTCATTTGGATAGAGCGTCGGCCTGGGGACTGAAGAGTCCCGGGTTCGATTCCAGTCAAAGGCATGTACCTTGGTTGCAGGCACATCCCCAGTAGGGGATGTGCAGGAGGCAGCTGATCGATGCTTCTCTCTCATCTATGTTTCTAGCTCTCTATCCCTCTCTCTTCATCTCTGTAAAAAATCAATAAAATATATTTTTAAAAAATCAATTTGCAATGAATATTATAAAAATAAATATATTACTCACAATTCGGGTGTTCTTGATTATTTTCAGCTGAAAATTCTCGCGAAAAATGATTTTAAAGTTGGTCAGGGCTGCCACTAAGGGAAAACATTTTTTTTTATAGACGCGTGGTATGTGGGGAAGGCCTGCCGCTTGCCTCTACAGACGCTTTTGGCGGACAATGTTAATACTGTAGAGTTGAAAACCTTAAAATTATCTTTTCAAATTACACATTTCATAGATAGGGAGCCAAGAGCAGAGAAGTCAGGTGATTTGCTCAAGTTAACCCAGCCAGTTACTGGCAGGAAGTACCGCAGACCTAGATCTCTTTACAACTGTACTAAAACAGATAAGGTGAAGCAACGTGGTGTGGGATAATGGTTTCAAACTTTGATTTAAGCAGGGGAATTTTTTTAAAAATATATTTTATTGATTTTTTACAGAGAGGAAGTGAGAGGGATAGAGAGTTAGAAATATCGATGAGAGAGAAACATCGATCAGCTGCCTCCTGCACACCTCCTACTGGGGATGTGCCTGCAACCAAGGTACATGCTCATGCTCTCGACTGGAGTCGAACCTGGGACCCTTGAGTCCGCAGGCCGACGCTCTATCCATTGAGCCAAACCGGTCAGGGCAAAGCAGGGGAATTTTTTAAAAATCTCCAAAGAACTCCAATTTATAAAAGAAATTCAAGTGAAATTTCTCTTGTTGAAAAGGAATGGGGATCCTGGCTCCCACCTTCTCAGTATCCTCCTCCTTACAAGGTGACTGTATTTTTAGCAACATTAAATTGACATCAAACAGGCATAGAAAAACTCAGGTTGGAAATCACAGCTTATTTGCCTCCCTCCCTCCCTCCCTCCCTCCCTCCCTTCCTTTCTTCCCTTTCTTTTATGTGTGTGTGTGTGTGAGGGGGGGACAGCCTGATATTTGGAAAAATAATTGAATGGGGTTGTGGCTGAAAAACTATAAGTGATATATCAGCATTACTGAGTTCTTAGTACCTCACAGGCACTGTGCTGCTCGCTCTGCATGCCGTGTCTGATTTAAACCTCACAACTCTCCCGGGTAGGTACTATTATTCTTTTTACTAATAGGGAAAGTAAGAGTAAAGGTCAACCTAGTTGTTCACCTACTAGGTAGAAGAACCAGTTTCTGTTTTTTAAAAATAGGTTTGTCTGTTTCCAGGGCCTGAGCCAATACCTGCCATACCACACTGTCTCTCAAACGATGTGACAAGGAAGGAAGGAAATGTTGTTGAAACGGAAGAACAAGCCTAGGAACAGCAGGCAGAGGAATGCAGAGGACCAAACTTGTTGCCGTTTGGTTTGGGGTTAGTTACCCATTCAATCAACAAATATATACTAATGACATACTATGTGCTTGGCATTGGGTATATATGAGTAATAAACATACTTACATTTTCAATAGAGTAATTCAACCAAAATGTATCAAGCACCTCTGCTGTGGCAAGTCCTGGGGAGTGCATGGCAATAGGAAACCAATATTGTCTTGCTTGAGATTCCACTGACCAAGTGTGGTTCCTCTTTCTACTGCTCAACTCTGAGGAATAGAAGGTGACAGTTGAAATTGCCCCATAGATTACAAAAGCTAGCTCTGGGATATAAGTAATTTAAAATTACGTCCTTGTTGTATTTTATCATAGCTAATTTCTACCAGCAAAAAGATGTTTTTCTATTACATGACATTTTACTGTAACTTACATTAAAACATTCCTGTCGTTAAGTGAAAAAGGAAATAGTATTCTTTCTAGATTGAGAGTCCATAAAGTGGGCAGTTGAAGACAAAGGTCAGTGTTCTGATTTTCATAAGTGTTCTGGCAGTCATAATCATAAAGGTAAATATTCTTTCACACACACACACACACACACACACACACACACACACAGGGAACCCAAATGTCATGGTTGCTCTAATTCATTGAGAGTGACCAGCTCTGGTAAAACTCAAGTAGAAGGGCATCACTGTGGTAGTTTCAGAATGGCTATCATCAACACATCAACAAACGACAAGTGCTGGAGAGGATGTGGAGAAAAGGGAACACTTGTGCACTGCTGGTGGGAATGCAGACTGGCGCAGCCACTATGGAGAACAGTATGGAGTTTCCGCAAAAAACTAAAAATGGAACTGCTATTGCACCCAGTGATCCTACTTCTAGGAATATATCCCAAGAAAACAGAAACACCAATCAGAAAGGATATATGCATCCCTATGTTCATAGCAGCACAATTTACCATAGCTAAGATTTGGAAACAGCCTAAGTGCCCATCAGCAGATGAATGGATTATAAAACTGTGGGTATATCTACACAATGGAAATACTATGCTGCTGTAAAAAAGAAGGAATTCCTACCATTTGCAACAGCATGGATGGAACTGGAGAGCATTATGCTAAGTGAAATAAGCCAGTCAATGAAAGAAAAATACCACATGATCTCACTCATTTATGGATAATAAAGACCATTATAAACTTATGAACAAAAATAGATACAGAGGCATAGCAGCCTCGAACAGACTGTCAAACTACAATGGGAAGGCCGGGGAGGGTTGGGGGGCAGGAGGGGAGGGTAAGAGATCAACCGAAGGACTTGTATGTGTGCATATAAGCATAACCAATGGACATAAGACACTGGGGGGTAGGGGAGGCCAGGGGATTGTCAAGGGTGGGGAAAAAAAGGAGACATATGTAATACTTTGTAATACTTTAAGCAATAAAACAAAAAGAGAGATTTGCTCTGGCCCCTCTGTTTTCTTACTGTCTTCTTGATTAACTGTTTTATTAATCTGACAGGGCTCAAATGTGTTTGGTCTGGGCAAAGTTGCCAGAGTCTTACCTGAGATAATGAGGCTTTATAGCTACCATGATTATTGTCCAAGATTTCCTTTCCCCATATTTTCTTGTTGCTATAGGCACATACAAAGTCTCAGACTCTATACACCATTCCTGCCTTTCTGTCTTTCACATTCTCCTTTGAAAGCTCCATTGAAATATATGTTCAACTGTTGCTTTTCCTTTAGCTCATGTAAGTATATGTTTTCTCTACAGAATAGGTGCTCTTTAAGTTATAACACTATGAGCAATTACTCTTAGAAATTATTATGGTAATTACTAATATTTATTAAATGTCCTTTCTCTTCGTATGACCTTCACCCCCACTTTTGTTTGCACTTGGCCTGAGAACCTAAGGTAAGGGAGGAATGAGGAAAAAAAGACTGAGAAGGTTTACTGTGGCCAATCTGGCTGAGGGCAGGCTCTTGAAAGAGGCGTCAGCAACTCAAACAGCAGTGTCCTTGGAGGTGTGGTAAGCAGCCTCCATCACTTCCAGTTTCCAAGGAAGTCCAATCCAGGTTATGGGCTTGCACTCATGTTGGTATTATTCTAAATGTTTATGGCTACTTAGTATATGACCTATTGATTCCTCTGGTCTACTTTTTTTTTTTTTCTTTACACATGCCACTTTCTCAGTTCTGGCTGCTATCATTCCTCCCCTGGATTACTGGTCTCTGTGCCTGAGTTTTGCCTTCCACAGTACCACTTCTACTCCCACTTCCACAATGTACCCAATGTGATCTTTCCAAAACCATGTTGATCATGTCATTTCTCTGCTTAAAATCTTTGATTTTCTTCCCATTGCTCTTAAAGTCCAAACTCTATAATTTAGTTTTAGACCCTGCTTACCTTTGAGCATCTACTGATCTTTTGAGTCTCAGCTGTAACCCTCCAACTCACACACTC